GGTCATAACCTCCCTGGGCCTCAGTTTCCTCATCTATAAAGCCTGTAATAATGCCTGCTGGGGTTGTTGGGTGGATTGAAGGCTTAATAAAAATCCCTGCTATCTAGAAAGTGTTCAATGAATGGGTTAATTACTATTCCACACCCTTATCCGATGCTGGCCTGGGTCTCCCCCATCTCCTGGTGGTTTTCTACCACGCTGTCATCCATCTCTGGTTTGCACTTTCTCTGAAGAAACCTGCAACATGATCTTGTGACCACAGGGTCAGTGATTTAACCAGGTAGGACCCAATTAAACCACCTCAAGGAAACTGGGTGTCTCATGGAATCCAAGGAAAAGTTGAACAGCCAGTCACTGAGAAGAGCTGACTCAGGATCTGGACCCTTTGGGGAACCCAAGAATGTCCTCTCTCTCCTCCCCCCACATCTCTCTCTCTCTCCCACTCCCTAAGCCTGCTTTGTTCTTTTGCTTGATGCAAGTCATCTCCAGGACACAGATACTCACTTCCTCCAAGTGCTCTCCCGCCTCAGGACCTTTGCACCCGCTGTGCCCTTGGCCTGGCACACTCTTCCTCGGATCTCCCCATGGTCCACTACCCCCTCCTCCAAGTCTTGCTTTTTCTTCCCTCTAACCTTGGTTTACAAAACAAAAAAAGAAAAAAAAGGGGAGGGGGGTTAATCATAATCTTTGACTCATAACCCACTGTCATCAGCATTTAATTAGTTAGTTTTAAGAATGTAATCAACACCTGTGGAAACACCACCCAATACGAAAGCTAGAATCTTGACAATAACTTACATCTAACTGTAATACTCATCCTGAGTTCCATATTTATTCTTCCTTTGTTTCCTTTTCATACATTTAATTATCACATCTGTGTGTAGATATAATTTTAGTTGCCTTTAACTTTATAAAAAGGGAATCATGCTTAATGTAACGGGACATTTTTTATTGAATCTCCTGTGTCAGAGATTCATGTCTATTGTGATGTGGGGCTATAGACCCTTCACTGTGAGTGCCATGTCATATTTCATTGTGGAAATTAAACCATAGTTTATTCATTTGCTCTCCTGTGGATGGGCCGGCCCAGGACATGTGTAATTTTTAAGCACTTCCTAGGAGATTCTCGCATGCACCCAGAGTGAGACCCAGCACTCTCAGGTGGGCGATCATCTCACCCATAGGTGCTCAGGCCCCACTTGAGTCTGGCTGAATGTGAACTTCATGGCAAGGCCTGGGAATCTGTATTCACCTGGCCTCAGCCCTGCCTGGTGATGGGGAAACGCTGCTCCCAAGGGCCACAGCCTTGTGCCTGCAGACTCTCCTCACTGACCAGGGCCAGCTGTGGACATTACCCCTCTGAGATTCCTCCAATTCCACCGCCACTTCTCAGCAAAAAGCTTTTTACCATCCCCCACCCCATTTACATTCTGCAGCCCCAAGGAAGTCCCCTATTTTCAACAGAACACTCTGACTTCTAGGGGCCCTGTTTGAGTCCCCAAAGACACCCAAACAGTACTTCTTGCTCTATTTCCTGTTTTCCACTTCAACTTTTTCTCACATGCTGAAGGGAAGGTCATAGCTGGTCCATGCGCCAGAATGTTGAGGGATGGAGAGGAGAGCTCAGAAACGCCTTAACTCACTCGCTCCACAGGCTGGGGGCAGTGTGACATGTGCTTCACAGGGCTCATACCCCAATCGTACATGACCCTGCTATGGTCTTCAGTTTTACTCGTCTTGTTCTACATCCCCTTCCAGGTTGGGCATACAGTAGGTGCTCAGTAAAGTCTAATTACTTTCAGGCTCTTACAAACACAAATCAAATCACATCAAATCTCCTTCGGTAACTCCCTGTGACTCTTAGGATAAAATCCCAACCCCCTGTGGGGGCTAACAAGGCCCTGCATGGTAGCCCTGTCACCTGGTCTTGCCGCACACTCACCGCTAGCTACTCCATTCTCTGTGGTCACCCCAGTCTCCTGTCTGTTGCTCTAAGACAACAAGCTCTTTCCCATCTATGGAGCTTTACATGCCTCCATTGCCTGTGCCTTAAACATTCCTCCTCCTACATCCCTTAGCCACATTAAGACCTCCTCTGAGAAGCCCACTCTGACTCCTTAGACTGATAGGACCCCCGTTAGATGTCCTCCTGATATCCTGAACTTTTCCTTTGTGGCCCTTGCAAAAATTTGTAATCATACTTTGTTTGATTCTTTGATTTATGTCTGACTCTCCCATTAGACTCTGAGATCCAGGAGGGCAGGAACCATGTTGTTTGGATTATCTCTGTATCTCAGCACATAGCCCCAGTGCCTGGCACATAGGAGGGGTCTGATATTTTTTGGATGGATGGATGGGTGGATGGATGGATGAATAGACAATGCATGGGAGAACAAAAAAATGAGTTCACCTTTTTTTCTGTCTTCTCCCCATGCTGCCATAATGGTGCACACGACCGTCCTGGACTGATGCCGTCCTGTTGATGCCGTCAAGAGCATCAACAATACTCAGAAGAGAGACCAACACCAGGTTCTCTTAGATCATGCTCCATAGTCATCATCTGGTTTCTAATTATGATGATGCACACAGTTACGCTGGTGAATTTGAAATCATTGATGATCACAGGAAAATCACTGTGGATCTCACAGGCAGGTTAGACAAGTGTGGAGTGATCAGCCCCAGATTTGATGTGCAACTCAAAGATCTAGAAAACTGGCAGAATAATCTTTCCCATCCTATCAGTTTGATTTCATTATACTGATGACCTCAGCTGATATCATGGACCACAAGAAAGCAAGATGAAAGCACACACGAGGGAAAATTCTGGGATGAGTTTTTTCTAGGGATGTAATACACACATACAAATAAAATGCCTTAATGGACAGTTAAAAAAAAAAAAGAGTTCATGGTTGATTGCTTTTGTTCTGTTGGCTTCTCTGTTGGTGTCTGAGCCATCTCCCCAGTGGATTGTGGGCTTTTTGGCAGCCAAATTCCTTCTCCTTCCTTGAAATTTCTTTCTCCCAGGGTGCCCTGGGAGGAGGGCTTTGCACTTCCATATGTTCCACAGTCCAGTTGAGAGGGGCAATTAAGGGCCACACTGCACCAGATCCTCAGCTGGATGCCGTCGATTAGTCACTCAGCAAACACAGAGAGACAACATGGTGTTGTGGGAGGTGCAAAGGGGTTTGGGATTCAAATTCCAGCTATGCCACTGTGCAAGCCACTTCATCTCTTTGAGCTTCAGAAGTTTTTCTTTTTCCCCTGCATGTGTAATATCAGGACAATACTACCTGCCTCGTGGGGTGGTTATGGAGAGTAGTGAGTATTATGTAAGTGTCTGGCATATAATAGGCACTTAACAAATGACACCCATCATGTAATGAGCACCAGCCACACCACAAAAAGATGAATACAACACAGTCCCTGATAAGGATATTGCAAGACAGCAGGGACAGATTTCATTTAAGGTGCTAATTGTTATACAGGATGCCATATCAAGGTATGGGCACAGAAACAGAGGAAGAGGGGGTGAATTCAGGGAATGCATCCCCATGTGATCTTGAGCCAATCTCTTTCCCACCCTGGGGTCCCCAGATCTCCTTCTGTAACATAAGGTTATTGAGCATCAGCTCTGAACCTTTTGGGTCACTGCCTCCTTTGAGAAGAATCTGCTGAAAGCCAGAGCACTTCCCAGAAAAATGCACAGACACACAAGTTTGCTTGTAAAGGGGGGGGGGGCTTCATAGACCCCTGGAAAGCCATCGGTGTACCCTAGGCTAAAATATCAGAGCTCAGTGCCCCTTTTGGAGTATTATCACTGCAGATTTGTCCCTGCCCTTGGACAGAGCCTCTCTCTTCAGTCTGCAGTGGGTGCAAGCAAGCAGAATCATTGATCCGATCTGGAAAAGCCCATCAGGCACCGGGCTGCAAGACAGAGCAGTGGTCTGGGGAGGGAAGGTCACTCCAGCTGGCAGGGGAACTGGGGTTCGGGTCTGGGAACACACCCCTGAGCAGCCTGTCCTTGCCCTTGCCTAGTTTATCATCAGCTGTCCTGGGGAGGCAGAGGAGCGTGGGCCGCTCTGGGCAGACTCCCAAACAGGCCACTGACCCCCTGTCTGCCGCCCAGGCTGGAGTTCCCGGACACATCCTTCATCTTCCCTAATCTAAACACCCGCAGGCCCCCGGGTGGTCCATCCCCCTCCCAGCTGATGTGTGTCCTCAGCTGCATCCAGCTTGACAGAGGAGGGAGGGACTGCCCAGACCATTAACACTTAAGCTGCTGCCACCATCAGCCTCCCCTTTCACCCAGCTTTTATTGAGCACTTATTGTTTGCAGGCAGCTGTGAATGAGACAGCAGAGAGCCCGCCTTGCCCTTCCACCAAGGTCTCTGCCTCCCGACCTAGGTCCCCTCCTTGCTGGGAGGCAAGATGCTGCTCCCATCATGCTCACTTGGAGCAGATGGGTTTTGGGGAGGAAGTGAGCTCTGGGCTGGCTGACTGGGTACTGGTGGGAGAATCAGATCTGGGTTGGTGCCTAGGTACTGCTCTAAGCTTCTATGAGATGCTGGGCCTGTTTCTTACTCTCCCTGGGCCTCAGTCTTCCCATCTATACGCTTCAGATTCTGTGGTTCCATTCGAGAGGAAGGAGGCTACCCCAGAATGATTTAAGATCTTTCTTTTGACAAATCTCTGGATCTTATTCATTCATTCAAGTATTTATTGAGCAACTATCAAGTGCCAGACCCTGGACCGGGTGACTGGAACGCAAAGATGACAAATAGTCAAGCAGGCTGCCCTTAAACGTCCCACTCCTTGCCTAGCGCTCTGCCTGGGATGAGTCTCCTCTTAAAGGGCCCTCTCCCCTTCTTGTCTCCTGGCAGGTTGCGAGCACGAGTGGGGTGGGGCGTGCCCACGGGCCCCCGCCCCCCTCGTCCCTCTCGCCCCCCAGCCCAGCTCCGGAGCCGCAGCCCGGGCGCGACGGCCGGGATTTGCACAGCACCCTCCCCAGTGCGTTCTGCGACCACCCAGGCCTTCCAGGACTCTGTGGAGAGGGGAGCAGGGGGACAGGGACGCCCTCTTCAGTAGGAGCTGTCTGGGGGGCGGACCCTAGGCAAGGCGAGCAGCCCCACTGAAGCCAGGCGCAGGGTCTGGGACGCAGCTGGGAACGCAGAGGGCTGATTGAGCTCCGCAGAGAGCAGCAGGCTGGGGCCCGGGCCTCCTGGGTGACAGGCCCTGCGTGGCAGGGGAAAACGGCTGGAGGAGACCAGCAGGGAAGAGGCTGGACCTAGAAAAGGGGCGGCTGCTTCACTTCCTTACCAGAGCCAAAGGGACCAAGGAATTTGGAGCCATGTTTCTACCGTCAGAAGAAAGACACTTGCTTTCCATGGCAGTGTGCTTTATCTGAGACAGCTCTGCAGGGAAACGGTCCTTGGAGCCTGGATCATCACCCTCCATACCTTTAACTGAGGCCTCCAAGCCTCAGAGAGGACCTGGATTTAGAAAGGAGGCTGGACAGTCCTTGCTGCCCCCCTTGGGGAGAGAGGAAGTTCCCTGCCTGCTCCCGGGCCAGGAGGAGCTGGGCCAGCAGAGTGGGGACCTGGCCCCTGAGGCAGCGGCGGCCATGTCACGCCCAGGCCAGGGCGTGATGGTGCCGGTGAACGGGCTGGGCTTCCCGCCGCAAAACGTGGCCCGGGTGGTGGTGTGGGAGTGGCTGAATGAGCACAGCCGCTGGCGGCCCTACACAGCCACCGTGTGCCACCACATCGAGAATGTGCTCAAAGAGGATGCCCGAGGTTCTGTAGTCCTGGGGCAGGTGGACGCCCAGCTGGTGCCCTATATCATCGACCTGCAGTCCATGCACCAGTTTCGCCAGGACACAGGTGAGCAGACTCCTGCCCACCCCATCCCACCTGCCAGGCCATGCGTTTCATGGCAGGGAAAATCCCACCCAGCATCCCTGAAGAGGGAGGCTGGAACTGCAGGAAGGCCAAATCTGGTGATCCAACCTCCCTCACCTGCGGACCCCTCCCCCTCAAGCCCTTGGCCCCCTCTGAAAAAGGGACAGTCTCGCCTACTCCAGTTTAAGACTTGGATTTCAGTGCAGCCTCTTATATTAGTTGTAAGACCTTGGGCAAGTTTCATCACCTCTCTGAGCCTCAGTTTCCTCATCTGCAAAATGGACAGATCAATATCTATGATAGCTGTGGGAGGATTAAATAAAATTGTGAACATAGAAGAGCATTAGAACTCAATATTTGTAGAATAAGGGCTTTACACGCACTTCCTCATTTGATTTTTCCAACGATCACAGGCAGTAAGTTTTACTATTGCATTTTCAGTTGGAGTCCTGTTTTACAGATGAAGAAACTGAGTCTCACAGAAGCTGAGTGATTTAAACTCAAAACTGGGATTTCAACCCAGGCAGTTGAATTCCAGAGCCAAAGCTCTTAACTGATATCCTGTACTGGTTCCAAGCATTGGTGGTGTTGGGGTGGAGCGATGGTGGTGGTAATTATTGGGAGGTGGGGGGTATTGAAGGTGGGAGTAGGGTGGTAATGATGGAGGAGATAGTGTTGGTGGTGATGTCAGTGGTACTGATGGTGGGGGGGGTGGTGAGGTTGAGGGTGGTGTCATGGTGACGGTGGGATGGTAATAATGGAGGGGTTGGTGGTAGTATTGATTGTAGAATTAGGTGCTGGTGGTGATGTTGATGGTTGTGTTGGTGGTGTCGTGATGGGTGGTGATGATGGAGAGAATGATGTTGGTGGCAGCCTTGGTGGCCATGTGGTGTGGGTGGTAGTACTGTGTGTGGGCTGGTGAACTATCAGGAATAGTATGGTGCTGTTGATGGTTGTGTTGGTGGTGGTGGGACAGATAACGATGATGACAAAAATGGTGAGGTCAGGGCCACTGTCTTTTGTTCTGGAGATTTGCCATCATTGTGGAGATTTCCCTGAGTCATTGCCCAGTGGTCCCTGTGACAAGCTTGGTACGCACTGGGGGTGGTGAGGTCCTGCCTCATGAAAGCTGCCCAAGAATCTTTGACCCCCAAGGACCAGCTGATACAGATTTTGAGAAGTTCCTGTGAATCCCTGGATGACAGACCGCACGTAACAACCTTGGGGATAGTAAGATGCTTCCCTTCTCTCTAGACTGTGCCATCCAATATGGTAGCTACTAATCACATGTGGCTATTTAAATTTACATTAATTAAAATTAAGTGAAATTTGAAATTCAGTTCTTCAGTTACACTAGTCACACTTCAAACGCTCAATAGCCACATGTGTCTTGTGGCTACTGTACAGGACAGTGTAGATCCAGAACATTGCCACCATTGCAGTTGGACTGCACTACTCTAGAACATTGCTTGGTCCCTGCAGTGCTCACCAAGTCTAGAAACACAGGTGCATTTATAACGAGTGGCTTATGGATGTTACATTTCAGACAACTATGTTTCTATAACTCTAGGCATTGACTGCGGTCACTGGTGGGGCCAATCATTCATGCATTCTATCTTATGATCATTTATTGCTTTCCTGCTGTGTGTTAGACCCTGCGCTAAGCAATGGGAACAAGACAGGGGAGGAAGACAGGGTCCTTAGCAGAGGTCTACTGCTGAAGGTCCTGGTGTAGTTCAGGAGCAAGCAAGCACAGAATTGCACAGATAATCAGTTGCAGGTCTGAGAGCATGAAATCAGCCTGGTCTACGGGTACTCAGGGAAGGCTGGTCTGAGGAAGTAATGCTTGAACAGAGATCTGAAGAATGAAGGTGGGGGGCAATGTTTCAGGCAGAGGCAACGCCAGAGCAAAGGCCCTTGGGTGAGAAGGAGCAGCCGACATTCAAGTCCATTGCATCTGGAGTGCAGTGAACAAGGGCAAGATGGTGCAAAATGAGATTGTTTGAACAGAGATCTGAAGAATGAAGGTGGGGGGCAATGTTTCAGGCAGAGGCAACGCCAGAGCAAAGGCCCTGGGGTGAGAAGGAGCAGCCGTCATTCAAGTCCATTGCATCTGGAGTGCAGTGAACAAGGGCAAGATGGTGCAAAATGAGATTGGACCAAGGACCAGTCATTCTGGCCTGGACAACCATGAAAAGGACTTTCAGTTTGATCCTGAGAGTAGGGAGGAGCCACCATCCGGTTCCTGTGCCCGTTCTTCCAGAGGGGCATTGAGGTGCTGATGGAGAAATGAGAAGTGTTGGGTGTCCCCTGCCTCATTCTCTGTGTTTTATGCTGGAGGTGGGTGGCAGGGGTCTGATAGCAGAAGAGGGTAGGCTTTTTCTTTGTTAGGTGATTTGGCATTCTGTGGGCTCAGACCTAATGGCGAGTGTAGAGATTTTCCAGGACCTAGCTTGTGTATGGGCAGGGGAGGGGTGCCTTAGAAGCAGGGTCAGACCCTCCCAAGGCTGCCAAGTTGGCAACTTTGCCTTTGATCCCCCTCTCCATTTCAGGACCCCTTTTCTACTCCCAGAATTTCCACTTGGGCTCCTGAGTCTCCAGGCTCCTGAACTCCCACCATCTGCCTTTCAGCAGGCCCCTTACTCTCAATAGCACCCCTTTTATGGTTCAGCCTTACTGGACCCCCCCAGAAGTTCAACTCCAGTCACATCTGCGCACCCCCTCCCCAGAGCTGTTCACTCCACACCTGCCCCCTGTTTGCCGGAAAAGGGAAAAAAAAACCTCATCCCTCAACGGGCTCCTGGGAATCTGCCAAGACCTCCCTGAGCGAGAGGGGAAGGCCTGGAAACCTACTGGGGCTGGCGGGGGACCTAGGAGGCCCGGAAATCTACGGGAGGGAGAGGCAAGATGCCTCCCCAGCAGACATGTTAGAGTTTGCTCCCCAGTTCACCCAGGAGCAAAACAATGTCAAGAAAGGATATCTTGTCTTCATTGTTAGTGGTCTGGAGAAAAGCCTGGACCAGCAGGGAGCAGACCTGACCACTGGGCTCTCCTCTGCACTGACAAACTGTGTGACCTCAGGCAGGTGTGTTCACCTCTCCAGGTCTTAGCTTCCACATCTGTGAAATGGGTAAGAGCATCACATAATTATCAGGGTTGTTGGATTGAGAGAGAATAGAGCCTATTTTCTTCTGCAAACATCAACTAATCACCTGCTATGTACCATACCTAGATAGTGCGCACCACTGTGGATGCAAGAGAAAAAACAATCGAAAGCTGTAAAACCCATAACTCACGTCTATGTGCTGAAATGAATGGCTTCCATCTAGATTTTTTAACTGAAAATTCTTGAAAAGTTCATTGAAGCTGAATTGCAATTTTGGGGAGAGTAGGAGCATGCCCTGGCTATGCTAGTGCCCTAACACAGAAGTTGGCAGACTTTTTGTGATAGGGTCAGATAGTAAATACTTTAGGCTTTGTGGGACCTACAGTCTCTGTTGTAACTCCTCAACGCAGCAGTTTTAGTGTGAAAGCTGCCATAGACAATATGTAAATGATGAATGTGGCTGTGTTCTAATAAAACTAGTGGTGGACATTGAAATTTGAATTTCATATACTTTTCATGGGTCATGAAATAATCTTTTTTTTCCCAACCATTTAAAAATGTAAAAACCATTCTTAGTTCCTGAGCTGTACAAAAGCAGGTGGTGGGCGGATTTGGCCCACGGGCTGCAGTTCGCAACCCCCTGCCCTACCATAAGACAAGCAGATAGTGCTAGTTGCACAGAACACCCAGCATGGTGTATGCCTCATGGTGTGTGCCAAGGTGCACATCTGTGTACACACATGCACATGGCACCAGCCTGCTGTACACTGCTGCCACCCAAATGCCCCACGTGCCTGTCATGCTGCCAGTGGAAAAAGACCCAGTAGCAGGCTCGGCCATGGGGAGAGGCCAGCCTGGGCCCTGTGGAGGCTGCTGTTTATTCAGCCGTTGCCCCTCACCTTCCCCTGCTGGGCTGTTTTCACCATTTCCGGGGGTGGAGAGGGGGGTGGTGAGGTTCCCTTTGAAGCCCAAAGCCCAGAGTCTGGACTGGAAAATGGAGTCCCCCATTCCCCACCCCCCACGTGGAGGCAGAGTGCTGTGACCCAGGCCATCTGATGTTAGGTCGCTGACAATGGTGTCCCAGGCAGAGGCTGGAGGGAGAGCCCGAGGTAGGGGAGGGATGGGTGGCTTGCTTGTTTCTCAGCATGTTCTTCCTGCTAGGCCATGCACTGTGTTTGCCCCAAAGCTTTGCTCACCTTCCTTTGTCCTGAGCCATCTGTACCACAGACAAACCAAGATTTCCACGACTAGGAAAACCAAGGCTGAGGGGTTTGCCCAGGTGGGCCCAGCAGTTGGTGGTCTGGGGTTGAGGGGTTTGGCTTCTATCAGCAGTTGGGGAAAGGTTTGGGACTGGCTTCCTGGCTCCAGGAGAGGCCATACTTCCCAGGAGGGCATTTGCATCCCCTGCTGTTGGGACTGCAGCCTCCAAGGGACTCCCCTAGACCCTGGATTTTCTACCCAGTCCACACAGTTAGACAGAGGTGTGACTCTACCACTTCCCTGGCCATTCCAAGATTCTCCCTGGCCTTGTGTGGCCAGGGCAGGGGAGGGGCACCTATCTGACTGATGTCTCCCACTTTTCTCCCCATCTAGTGCTGGGGAACTTACAGCAGCCTTCTGCCCATTCTGTAGGTGGGACAGCTGAGGCCAGGGGAGACCAGGCTGCAGACCATCCAGAAATGCTGCACATGAGGCTCCACACATGGCTGTGTCTGGAGCTCCCAAGCTGTCAGGCTGGAGTGACAGGTGGTGGCTGGCTTCTTCATTTCCAAGGCCTACATCACTGGGTAGCTTGGGCTCCACTCAGCTCTGGTCCCTGCCCTTAGGGGAAGGTCCTGTCTAAGGACACTTAGTCTGTGGAGACTGGGTCGGACCA